CCAACTGAACCAGGAACCTTGGACAAGAGACGTGACTAAGAGCACACGGCACATGAGTGAACATGGCAGAAGAATTCATGGTGAGAAACAAGATACGAACAAAGAGAAAAGCATTTCTACTTTCCCATTTGTTCTGTGCTGGAGTCTTATTTTATAAAGGTGACACAGAGGCCCATATGAGGAACACCAGGTTTTGGACAGGAAGCACACCAGGAGCGAGGGGGAAACCTTTATTGGAGTTTCCTTGAGAACCGCGAGGCAGGGTAGGTTGAACGGTTTAGGACTGCCTAGTTTGAATAATTTCATGAGGCCTTGGGTTGCAGAGAGGAAAAAGTTTTTCTCTTCTCTCTTAGGGTCCTTGACTGGATCTGAAAATTAGACAGGAGAAAAGCATACAAGTTTATTTAAGATTTATGTGACACAAGAGCCTTCATAAGGAAAAGACCCAAAGAAACAGAGCTGTGTATTTTTACGATAGGTTTGATGAAGAGTGAGAAGTAGTGTGGAACTAAGATAGGATAAAGAATATGAAGTAATTATAGTAAACTGGGGGAGACTTAGCAAAGTCTGCTCATTTGGATTCTTCTTGGTATCTCTTTGTCTTTGGAGACAAGGATGATCCTTTCCTCCAGGTGTATGGAGGACACCTTTCACATGACGGTTTTATGGCCTATTGCAGGTAAGAAGGATGAGGGGAGAGGAGACCAGAGTGAACTTTCTGCTTCTGCTGTTTTCTCAAAATCCTGTAGTTTAAAATATTCAATATGATAGGTGCCATATTTTGGAGTAATATGTCCTGAACCCCATCAGTGCTATCGAGGTGGTCTCTAGTTGCTTAGTACGTAGCTCTGAGATGATAAAGACAGAGGAATACTGCCTTCTGGGGTGTACAGAGCAAATAGAAGACGTAGGGCTCTGGCTTGGTTAGTTTGCTTATCAAATAGCAATGCCCTTTGCTGTATCTAAGAATTAACTAGCCCCAGGAGGGGCAGTGTCTCCTCTGACAAAAGGAGTGTTAAGATGTCAAAACATCCTAATATACAGAAAATAAAAGACATGATTAATACACCATTATCTTGGACTTACCAGGCAGAAATTTAGGAGTAAGATCGTTGTTGACGTATACCCCTCTGCCCTCCCCCCCACCCAAAAAAAACAGAGGAAAGTGGTGGGGAGCATTCCAAAAGTCAAAAATAATTTCAAGTGAAGCATTTCAAAATAAATATCTTCCAGCAAAGGAAAAAAAAAATGCATTCACTCATGGTAGCTACCCAGCTGAATTAGGAGTTTATCAAATTCACTTTCAATCAATAGCAATTATACTCAGTAGTCATTGCAACATTTTTTCAACTTTTTTGAGAACCTAGTTTGTGCCAAGATTTGCGCTGTCTTAGAATCCCAAGCACATATTTGTGTCTTCACTGAGCTTATCTGGGAGTGTGGTGGAAAGGTTATAAGCCAGAAATCACTCTCCATTGTTGTATGAAGTTACATGGCAAGTAAATGTCCTCAGAGTCCTCAAATATCTAGTCACAAAATATGTACCTGATTTTCCTCTTGCTTGGGAGGAGGTCAGACACCATCTAAAGGTCACTACTATTTTGCCAGCAGCCAATTTATAGAAGAATTTAAAAAATTAATTTCTTTCACTATACTTCAATACCAAATAAAGGTCAGCATTTTGGAAATATTTCTTCTTTTGTGAACTTTTACTCTTCATTTTGTCCTATGCACTCCTATGGGCTATCATTTTCCTATTAGTCACTTTTGTGTCAGCATAATGTTTGCTATATTAAGAATCCAACAATTAATTTTCCCGAATGCATGTATCTATCCAAAGTTCACTGCCAAGAGCTTTTTTTTAAACACTGTCTCATGTCTTTATCTCCATTCAGTAAGTGCCCTGACATGATTACTTATGATCTCTTAGTAAACATCTGCTTTCTTCCAACAATATTGAATATCTATATCATAAACTCAAAAGTCTACTTTATATCTATACTCCTTTCAAATTCACTTTCAAAAATAAAAGCCGATATCTTCTTTCATACCTTCTGAACTGAGCCCTCTGCTATACCAGGGAGATAGATTTTGTATGATACTTGAAAGTTTAGGGATGCAGTCTGTATCTAACAAATGAATTCCGTATCTTTTGAAGCTAAATTGCTCAATTCCTTTAGTACATTGTGTTCATTAACAGGATGAAACTGTGTTTCCTATAGCCCTTCATTTTTCACAATTTCTGTATATGCCACATTCTGTGGACAGTTTTGGATGATGTATCTATCATTTCTAACAGTGTGCAGGCTTCTGAAGAGCAGGGATATCAAATTATTCTCTTTGTGTCTCAGATACAAACATGATCCCTGGTGGAAATACTGGATCTAAGTGGAAATCCAACTTTGCTTCTATAAACCTGATCACATGAAAGATGCGTATTATGTAAATTTTTCCTGCCAACTCTCTTTTTCTATTTAGTGGTCTCTTTCCCTAACTGGGTTCATGGCCAAATCTGCCATGGCAGAAATCTACCGTTTTGACATTGCACCCAAGGACAGCAATACAGGTATCTCCCCACACCCAGTAAAAACATAGCCATCTCCTTCCTCCTAGAAACTTCTACAGAGTTACTTCTAAGACCAAATGCTTTCCATGTATTATATTAATCAATCCTCTCAAGAACCCTAAAAGGTATGTATCATTGCCATTATATGGAATGGAAGGTTAACTCTTTTAGGCTTGTGTAGCTACCAGTCGCTGGAGGCTGGGATTTGCCCTTATAACTATCCAACTGCAGAATCCATGCCTTTTCCAGTTTGTCTTGCAGCCTCCATTCTTTCCAAGTCCTAGTCACCTGATAGCCATTTATGTATTCTAAGCAAACTAAACTGGTCCATATACAGTATCCTTGCCAGATCATTATCAAATTGTCTCTTCTCATGGCTTACTTATGAATACCTGGTTTTGGCACAGGATTGTAATTGGAGCAGAGAATAAAGGACAGAGCTAAGGAAAAGGGCAGCCTTGATCCAAGAGGATCCAGACTGTGAAAAGTGGCCATGACAACTGCCACACTTAAAATTCTTTAGTGGCTCCCCCTTGGTTTTTATTTGTTTAATAAATAATTAGCGGGCCCCTGCTAAGTCCCAGATACTGTTCATCACATTGTGGCTATAGCAGCAAGTCAAATAGACCAAACCACTTGCCCTCATGATGCTTTCATCATAGAGAGGTGGCAGGGAGTAAAAAGAGATAAATGTGTCCTGCCGTGACAGGTACGCATGGGAAAACAGGGCAGGTCAAGAAGTTTGGGAGTGTCTTCCTTATAAACGCCAAACTTCTTAGTGTGGTGGACAAAAGATTTCACCCATTTGGCCCATCATCTACTGCATACCATGGTCAAAACCACACTCAATGGTCCATCTTCCTGAAGTTCCTCTGTCTTGTGTCTCCACACTAACTGCCATTCAGTCTTCTGAGCAGTAGACACATCATCTCTTTCATGACAGCCTTGAAATTTTCTCTGACATCTCCAAATTCTTATTTGTATGCCAGAGCATGCCAGACTTCTCTAATAGCATTTATATCACAGACTATGTTGTTATTTTCCACTTTCAAATATTTATCTTCTTCAGATGTATAACAAACTCCCTGAAGCAAGACCATGCTACTTCACCTTGAATCTGAGACACTGAATACTGAGCCTGGCAGAGAGTAAACACTCAATAAATACTTCATGAAAGATGTGAATGGATGCTCAGATGAAATAAGGCCCTTTAAGTACACAGAATTGTCAAAGATCATCAAGAGTGAAAGGAAACGGGGCTGTTTTTCATATTTATTCTGAATACCTGTTAAACCATGTACAGAGTTGACAGGATAATCACTTTTTAAATATTACCTTTTTATAACATAACTTGAAGAAATTATCAAGATGAAATACCTAAAATCCATAGTTCTATGCTCAAGGCAGACAGGGTACACTTGGGATATTACATTTTAAAAGATAAGGTTTATTACCATAATAATTTCTTAACATTTTTATTGCAAATTACAAACTACTTGGAAAGACATTCATTTGCAGTAAATTAGCATTATTTAAATCTTTAATTTAAAAAAATATATATTTTATTTATTTATTTGACAGAGAGAGAGAGATCACAAGTAGGCAGAGAGGCAGGCAGAGGGAGAGGGAGAAGCAGGCTCCCCACTGAGCAGAGAGCGCAATGTGGTGCTCAATCCCAGGACCCTGAGATCATTACCTGAGCCGAAGGCAGAGGCTTAACCCGCTGAGCCACCTAGGCGCCCCTAAATCTTTACTTTTATCAGAAGAACACTAGGCCTCTAAGTGTATAGACCTTACAATCAGTCTTTGATAGATTGAACCAAGAATATAGCAGATATCTGTTAGTTCTTGTATATACACATCACGGTATGTGAGATATTTGCTGTAGGCTCATGGCAATTAGAAAATACAAAGTTGGATATCCTCTCACAAAACAAATTCTATGAAATACTAATAATTAACATTCTACTCTGATTTTCAAAAGCAAAATGTAGTATCAGTGGATACTACTACAGTAATACTGCCCTGACCACAATTTTGAAAATTGAAAGTGCTAGCCAATATCCTTTGTTCATCAATTAATAATGATCTCAGGTTCAATTTGATTGTGAAAAAGCAATCTTTGCTCAAAAAATAAAAATACTATCTTGCCCATAAGTTTTGATTAACTTTTCAAATATAAATCTTTGAGTATATAGGTACTGTCATTTGCCTAGAAAAATCTAAGCTAGCTAAACTGTCGTATATAGAGGTGTAAAAGATATTAAAACAATCTATGTAGGCAGAAAATTTAATAAACACTGAACTTGTACTTGAATGGGTTGTTTTATTGTTTCTTATTTCGAATATGTACACTTTGAGAGCCTACTTGAGGATTTTTGCAGTCATCTTCTGCTATCTGGCTTTGAGGCACCTACTAAGATCTTTAGCAGGATCATGGAGACCCTGTGGCAGGTGGCATGGCAGATAAGATATTGCTGGAAGTGGCAGATTTCTCCTTCCGGCTAGAAGGATGACCACCGGGTCCTGAGTTTAGAAAGGTGTCTATACAAACATCTCCAGGCACACATACTTTAATAGTATGGACTTCAGACATATCAACTCTCTCCATACAATGGACATTGGCATAACAAGCGCAATGAAACTTTTGGGAAAATTGTTGTAGGTCTTCAAGTGTGGGTTCCCCTTGTACTGTGTATTTTCCATTTCTCTCAAGTTGAATAACAAAATTCTCTGGGTTCAGGTGAAGATAGTCACTTGAATTCCAGTGTTTCCTTATACACACTCCTTGGTCCTGGCAGAGCGCTTGATTACACATTTTGGCTGCTAGGGTGACATTGATTATGTAAGGATTCAGTTTATTCTTCATGTAATTGTCTAGCTCTGTGCAAGATTGCTGTAAAATTATAAGAAGGTTAGAATATTAAGGGACAAGTTAGCTCATCTGTAAATTAATTCACTATGATAGGCAGTTTCTAAGGAAGCAAGATAAAACAAGACCCAGCAAGAGATTGGAAGTAGTTTACCATTTTTACCTTATCAAGCAAGATTATTCCAACTGTCTTGTAACATTTGTAAGTAAGTTTCACATGCCATTTGATTTAACTGAATAATTGACCAGTTAAACCTTAACTCAGCCTAGCCTTGGACTTCAATAATTCCTAAAATAGGGCAGGATGGTAGGGCAGTTAGAGAATGGTCTCTGGGGCCCATCTTCCAAGATTGGTCACAGTTCCATGAATGACTAGCTCTGTGACCTTGGAAATCTTGCAAGTTTTCTAAGTCTTAGTTTCCTATCTGGGTGACCTTGGGCAAATCAGTTAACCCGGTTATGCTTCAGCTTTGTCGTTTATGAAATAAGGATCATTATAGCACTTACCTCATAGGGTTGTTGTGAAGATGACAAGATACAATGTATATAAAGGTGCTTAGCATTAAGATCCAGCATATCATTGGTTAGCGCTCATGAAATTATAAATAAAGGTAATAAGAATCCTCTTTGTGAGACAAGTTTAAACAGCATGAGGAAGATTTCTCAACTGCTAGCTCAAAACAACTAAACATGTTCAACTGAGTATACTTTATGTTAAATGTTATGTACAGTTCAAGTTATGGGTGAATTATGACAGCTCTTTTACAAATACACTTATTTGGCAGAGCACGAGTGATGAGTAAGTAAAATGATTAATCTTGAGACCAATGCATTCTAAAACTGGGATGCTGTCTTTTTAAAAACACGGAAGATAGTCACTTGCTTTCTTTCATAATCCATAGTTCCACTGAGAAAGCTGGCCATGCTAGTTCTCCAGCAAACCAAAGGAAGTGGTGGTAGTAGATCAGAAGGCAAGTCAAGGAATCTTGGAAGCTTCCACTTGACTCTATCTCGTTATATGCCTTGAGATGATGCCAGCAATGATAGGAAGAATAGGGCCTTCCAAGAATGTCCATACTCTAATGCCCTGGAACCTGTGACCTTGTTACCTTGCATGGCAAAAGGAACGTTATACATATGATTACGGAGAAGAATGTAGTCCTTGAGATGGAGAGATTATCCCAGGTTATCTGGATGGGCTCAATTTAATCACATGAGTCCTTTAAAAATGTAGAAACTTTTCCAGCTGGGATTTAAAAAAAAAATGAGATGGAAGAAAGAGAACAAATTAAAGGTAAAGGAGACTCAACCCAGCATTGCTGGCTTTGAAGATAGAGGAGAGAGCCAAGAGCTAGAGAATGCCGCAAACTCTAGAAGCTGGAAATGACCCTTAGCCATCATAGCCAGCCAGAAAATAGACATCTCATTGCTACCGCCAGGAGGAAATGAATTCTACCAACCACCCAAATGAGCAAGTGAGGGTCCTCCCTTGGACAGGAACGCAACCCTATCAACATCTTGATTCGAGTCTGTTAAGACCCATGCTGGACTTCTGAACTACAAAGTATGAGATAATAATTCTTTCTTGTTTAAACTAAGTGTGTTGTCATTATTATAGCAGCAGTAGAAAACCTCTTCTTAATCCTAGTTTTGCATGGTGTCTAGAATAAAATTCAACTTCACCTGACTTATATACAACCTGATGTGAGGTAATTCTTTCTTCCTCTTGAATACCCCCTCCTTACCCACTCTGCCTTAGGCATGCTAGTTGTTTCATAAGAATGGCAGGTTTATTTCAAACTGCACTTACTTCTTCCCTCTGCTTGGAATGCTCTTCCCTCTAATTTTTTTTTAAGATTTTATTTATTTATTTGACAGAGATCACAAGTAGGCAGAGAGGCAGGCAGAGAGAAAGGAAGGGAAGCAGGCCTCCAGCTGAGCAGAGAGCCCGGTGCGGCGCTCGATGCCAGGACCCTGGGATCACGACCTGAGCCGAAGGCAGAGGCTTTAACCCACTGAGCCACCCAGGCGTCCCTCTTTCCTCTAATTTTTAACACGGTCACTTTATCTAGCCATTCAGATTGCAGCTTTAATTAAACCTCAGACACCTTTCCTATCTACTTTCTCACATCTGTTTTAATTCTCTGTATATTACTTATCACATCAAATATTTTTCTTATTTGTGTATTGTTTCTATCCCTCCAATATTAATATAAGCTGCATGAGTGCCGAGACTTCGTCAGTGTTCTTCAATACTATATCCAGTCCCCCTGGGGATACAATACTGTATACCCAGGGGCCAAGATACATGAGAATTGATACCAAGTTCAGATGACAGTCTGGGTGACCACAGAGACAAGAGCTGGGCAAAAAGAAGAGTGAAGGATAAGAATGGTTTGAGAATCGTTAGCCTACACAAGATGTAGTCTTTGGAAGGATTTGAAACTGGTTTTCTAAAAGATAAGGCCCGGTTTATAGCATTTGTGAATACCCGTGGTGTAAGTGCATCTGCCGTGGCCAGTTTTAAGCTATCAACCTGCTATCACTGAGTGATTGGAAATCAAGCCCCTGTTGTGGTAATATGGTGTGGAGAAGCACATCATTACTTACTATTTCCACTTAATGCAGATATCATAGATGTCAAGTTCCTCAACAGTATGGATAATAGTAAAGTGAAGTATGTAACTGATACATTTTAAGTATTTATTACTTCTTTTTTTTAAGGTTTTATTTATTTATTTGACAGAGCACAAGCAGGGGGAGCAAGAAAGGGAGAAACAGGCCCTTCACTGAGCAGGGAGCCCGACGCGGGGCTCAATCCCAGCACCTGAGCCAAAGGCAGCTGCTTAACTGATTGAGCCACCCAGGTGCCCCGAGTATTTATTGCTTTGGTTTTAACAGTACTTATTTCATTCTAAGTTTTTGTAATTTAATTTTTAATAATGGTTGTGTTAACAACCAGTTCACAAAATTTCTAAATATTTAATAATCAGGTCTCGTGAGCTGGGACCAGTAGGAGCTGGCTGTCATACCACTGGATCTAATAACATGGAATGGAAGGAAATAGCTTGCTTACATTTGATAACAATTGTTTTAAGTCAATTTCAGTCATTAAACCTGCAGTTACCAGTTTCTCAAGTTGTCAATGAATCAGAGAAAATAAGTTGAGTAGTCCATGATTCTGTTGGCTACAAATGACATAGAAAAAAGGGGAAGTAATGATAGAATTAGCATTTGAAATCATCATGTGGGAAAAGTAGCAGAAATACATAAAACAGAGATCACAGGGGGCAATTTCAAGGCAGTGTCATTAGGTAGGAAATTGAAGAACTCTCTGTGTATGAAAAATGCTGAAGATGCTCTGAGAATCATGGTAGAAGAATGTAAATCTAAGATTAAAGTGCAATAATAAAAGAAAAAAACTAGGTATGACTTATAATAATATGTCATGCCGTACTACTAATTGGAGAAAGCCTGATTCACTCCTCATCAGAATAAGGGTGGAGTTCTCAGTTCTGAAAAGAAAAGAAAAGAAAAGAAAAGAAAAAAGAAGGAATGTATGGGGAATATTTATAAATGATTCCATCAGATAATTTATAAGACCCTTGAGAAAGGTGTTTACAGATTTGAGACACAGTGAATGAAAATTAGGAATATATTTAGGAGAATTATAATTTTTTAATGATTTTCTGACATGGAAGATTTTGCACCAGGGACATATACCTTTCTCCATACTTACATTTTATATTATTTCTCCTTATTGGTGATCAAGCCAGAGACAATAGAGTTCTACCAAAAAGTAGAAGGGCTCAGATGACCTTGAAAAAAATCTCATAATGGGAACTACTGTTGAGTACTTTTATAAATGAATGAATTTATAGTGAATGAATTAACAATATAGTGAGGCTATCTGAAGGACAAGAGACAAAAGGTCTCTTCTGGTCTTAGATTGCTGTATAAAGTCTCTTCTCTATAGGTCTTAGAAGTCTCCCTGGCCATGAGCTCTATGAGATATTCTATGTGGCACCTAAGTCTCTCATATTTCCACATCTGTTAGAGAAGGAAAAGTTGAGCTCCAGTTCAGCAGTGTCCACGTGATAGCTTTACTCTATCAAGAGGATTGAAGAGGTTGGGAAGACAGATCTGACACAGAAAAATAAATAAGGATGAAAATAAGAGAGAAAAGGATTAGGTGGTAATAGTTAAAGGCCTTTTGAACTGAAGAAAATGCATTAGGAGAAAAATGAAAAGAACTCACCCATAGAGAAAAAAATGGACATTTTTTTTTCCTAATAAAACAAGTTTTACTCAAAATTTTACTTAAAATAGATAACAGTAAATATAACCTGTGGAAAATAAGGAAGTATTCCTTTTCCTCTCCCTTAGAGAAGGTTTGAACAATTTAGTAATATTTTGAAAAAAGTAATTCCCAATTGCTTATGCACCTCTTCCCCACTCCTGGCTCCTTTTTCTTCCTCCCTGCCCAGCCCCCACCAAACCATTCCTCCTTAAGTCTCTCCCATCTCAGAGGCCAATTCTTTCAAACCAGAAGCTTTGGAGTCATCTTAACCACTTCTCTTATCCATCCTACTCATCCAGTCCCTCAGTCCAACCTCTCAGTTCTACTGTTGGGTTATATTCAAACCACACGCCAGCACCTGTGGTCCAGGCCATCAACAGCTTCCTCTCCCTGTTCCCGCTCTTGCCCGTCCACCGTGGACCCTCAGCTCAGCTAAGTAAGAAATGTTTGTCAGAGACTGCAACTCTTCTGCTCAAGTCTCTTCGTGGCCTTCCATATCAGAGACAAAGCCCCATGGTGTCCTACGAAGCCCTCCATATGACCCTGTCTTCTCGCTTACCACAAGTCTTCCTTGCTCACTGCACTCCGGTCACACTGACCTCCTCTGTCTTTCTTTGACAAGCACATTCCAGCCTGAAGGCTCTTGCACTCACCATCCCCACTTGGTCTCTTAGAGCCTTGGTGCCTGGTTTTCATCAGGTCTCTGCTCTAACAGCACCTCATCAGAGAGGCCTTCTGTGACTGCCCCATCTTAAGTACCGCCATTTTATCTCTCTTTATCCTGCCTACACTGCTTCATTGCTCTTTATTGCACTTATCACTACCTGACATATCCTATCTGCATAAGTTGCATTTCCACTTGTAAGGATGCAGCTTCATGGTGAAGGGACTTCTCTTCATTCAGTTCAAAATTCATTCAGATCCCTTCAAAAATTCATTTTTAGCACCTAGGATTATCTGGCACTTAATCACAGGAGATGTTCAATAAACCAAGAGTCAGCAAACGTTTTCTGTATAGAGGCAGACAGTAAATATTTAGGGGTGACTGCCATAACTATTCAGTTATTTCTTTGTACTGCAAAAGCAGCCATAGACATCTAAACTAAGAAACATGCCTGTATTCCACTAAATAAAACTTTCCCAGTAGACACTAAAATTTAAATAATTACTAATTTTCACCTACTATAAATGATATTCTTTGGGAGTTTTTCCCCATCCATTTAAAAGGAGAAAATTCATTCTTGGCCCCTGGCCATCATTTGCTGACCCGTGTAATAAACTGCCATTGAGTGACTAAATGAATAAGCAAAAGAAGTGCTTAATAAACAGTAATTGAATGAATGAAAGAATTGACTATTATTTCATTGACTACTTCATGGGTTTTTTGAGAAGAGACCTATCAGTACAATTCAAAAAGCCAAACACCATGTCAGAAAACTGAGTTTGTAGTCCTCTTTTTGCTACTTGCTAGCCACATAGCCTAGAGAATTTTGGTCAGTTTCATTGAATTTCTGTTTCCTTGCTGGAAAAGAGGTACAATTTTTTCTGCCTTATAACATAACCACACAAATGAAGGACAGCTTGATGCAACCAGTATTAACTGAGCACATACTACTGTGTGCCAAGCATAGTACTTACTTTTATTATTCAGTACAACCATCCTCAAAAACATTAAAAGTAGAAATGTTTTCATCTATTTCCTGTCAATTCAACTTACCACATTTTGGCTTATATTGAGGCTTCCCCATATTACCATTCCAGAAACACCTAGAGAAACTGTTTCACCAATTGTGCTCACAAGGTCCTCCTGGTGAATGTGACAGAAAGAGTTAACAGAAATAAAATAGAAATGCTATGCATAAGACAGTAACACCAAAGCTAAGAATTCTGACAACAATAATAATTCAAATATTTCCCCACTATTTCTGTTGCCACCACATCCTTACTCTAACAAATATACAGATTTTTCTGTTATTATTTTAATTACTTCTATTGACAAACCCCATGAAAGGGAAAAAAGGGAACTGAGTTAATACATTGTCTGTGCTACCTAGTTTTTTCATGGTTGCTAAGATATTATATGATTACATTTAAAAGAAATATAATCTTGAGATGCCTGGGTGGCCCAGTCAGTTAAGCTGCTCTCTTCAGCTCAGGTCATGATCCTGGGGTCCTGGGATTGAGTCCCTCATCAGGCTCCTTGCACAGTGGGGGACCTGCTTCTCCCTCTGTCTGCCTCTCCCTCTGCTGTGTGTGCACTCTCTCTCTCTCTCAAGTGAGTAAATGAAATCTTAAATAAATAAACAAACAAATGAAATATACTCTTATTTTGCATTCACATAAAAATGGAGTACTATCTGTGTGCATATTTGTAAAGGATGTTAAAAGCCAAATCTCACTCCCTTCAAAAATGATGTTGAATTCCACTAAACACCTTTTGTGGCTGCTAGTTCATAGGTCTCACACCTTGACTTACCTCAGAAAAATATTTCAAAGCTATGTCAGCAAAAACTGGACGGGTATATACAAAAACTGGAAGTGGATGTTTAACACTGTGTACTGCAGAAATCCGAATGGCTTCCAAAACACGATTGCGGACATAGAGAGCTGCTTTTGGAGAAGATTGGAATTTGCCAATCAAATAAATGGATGGGAAAAGGGCCGTGCTTTCCTTCCATAACCAGTCGAGTCTATCGTTTCTCTTCTTTTCTATATCAGGGCAACTTCCATTGTAATTGGTTTCTTTAAAACCATTGTAACAATCAGGAAAAAGATAATAACCCCATAAATAATTTGGCCGAAGTTCTTTTACCAGTTTTAAGGTCGTTTCCATGAAACACCTTCCTGCGCTTTCAAAATCTGCTTTGGCTCTCTTGTTGGCCTCTGTGTCATTAAGTTCTGCATGTTGTTGGTGAACCAACTCAATAGAAAGGTTCTTGTAAATATCTTTAGGTTTCCAGTTTCTCATCCAGATAGGCCTCCAGTTTTCCCAGTCAATGACACCCAGGCCCGTCGTGTCTACTTCTATGTAATGGTCAATATCTTCCCTGACTTTCGCCAAGTGCTTTATCATGTTTCCAGTCTGGGGGATTTCTCCATTCATACCTTTGCCAGTCTTGTCATCTATGTAAGGATAGTAGCCAAGTCTGTTATTATAAAATATTGTAATATTTTGTCCCCTGGCAGTTTTTCGAGGGCTTCCTACTAGAGAGAAAAGGTTCAGATCTAGATGCACGTTAAAATTTGTATCACACTCTTCACTTGGGACATTCCAGGCCCAGAGGAAAGATACATTTGGAATAAAAGGAGGTGCTCTGTACTCCTGAGTCGAGCAACATATAATCAGAAGGAGGGTGAGCGCGGCTTGCGTGAGTCCACTGGATCCCACAGAACTCCTAAAGAAGATACGCTGGAACCTGAGCACACCCATTGCAAAGACGAATGACTATGAAAATTTCCTCCCAAACACTTCAGCTTGTCCGATATTTCATGCAAGATTTGAGCACAGAAGAAAGGTAGTGGAATGAAGCCACTTTGATGGATAAAGAGGTATAATGATCACATGACATTTAAATGTTATTCTTCTTGCTTCATATTTCAAGAATGTTTTGCAAGTTGTTTCATCTATAACTGGAAAAAAATAAATATAGAATATATGGTTAACATAACGTTTCTGTATCAAGACTGTCAACTTTACCAAGTTCTCAACTTGAAGGGCAGGAGTTTAATTCCGTTCTCGAAACTGGAGAACTCCTGTGTTTGAATCAATAAAATTATATTCTATTCTGCATGATACAAATCCTGTAATAGCTAACATTTGTCTCATCTTTCCAAATCATTACTGTGCCTACAGGGAGATGAATGTACCTGTTTTTCCTTTTTCCTTCCCACTTGTGTAGAATGCTATGCCAAGCATTGCCTTAGCAAAGCCTTGTTAAATAGAATTTCAGTTGAACCTCTCATTTTTGTTATTTCTTGAAAGACCACCTTACAGTGGCATGCCAAAAGTTGAAAAAAACCTCTCATAAAATTATGAGATTTCATCTTATTTTTTTAAGGGGGGCAAGTAGGGGAGAAGGCAAAAGTCACTTCTCCCAGAAGTAGTATATCAAAAATGTGCTTGAAACTATTGAGTTAACCAAAATCCCCTACTGAGGAACAAGTTTGTTATTTGGAATAGTGCTCCATCATATGTCAAAGTGAACTGAGTAAAAGATTAAGTAAAAGATACACTATATTTGTAGATATTTATGTATAGATATAAAAAATAGGTAAATTTTTTTTTATGAAACAACGTATCTCTTTTTTTTTTTTTTTAAGATTTTATTTATTTATTTGTCAGAGAGAGAGGGAGAGAGAGCAAGCACAGGCAGACAGAATGGCAGGCAGAGGCAGAGGGAGAAGCAGGCTCCCTGATGAGCAAGGAGCCCGATGTGGGACTCGATCCCAGGACACTGGGATCATGACCTGAGCTGAAGGCAGCTGCTTAACCAACTGAGCCACCCAGGCGTCCCAACGTATCTCTTCTTTATACATTTTTGGACAAAGCCTTGGGTCACAGAATTGGGGACAGACCCAGGTTAGTATCTAGAAAAGCATCTCTTTAGAAGATCTACTAGAGACTTTACACAAGAATCTCATCTTCCAGGAGAACTTGGGTGGCTCATCCAGTTAAGTGGCTGCCTTCAGTTCAGATCATAATCCCAGGGTCAAAATTTGAGGCTAGAATTTTGTTTGTCAGAACAGATTTGAAGCTCAGCTTCTCCTTAGTGGGAAGAGGAAAATAACCATCCACTTTCTTACTGTTTATTCGCTGGGTTCTCGTTTTACCTTTATTTATTTTTTTTTTTTTTAAGAGAGAGAAAGAGCACGCGTGGGCACGTGAATGTGGTGGGAGGCACAGAGGGAGAGGGAGAGAATCCCAAACAGACTCCAGATGAGTGGGCCTGACATGGGACTTGGGCTCTATCTCATGACCATAAGATGATGGCCTGAGCCGAAATCATGAGTCGGACACTTAACTGACTGAGCCACCCAGATGCCCCTCATGTTACGTTTTGAAGGAGTTGGTAGTTGGGATTTTTGAGGTAAGGAGAAGACAGTCACAGACAGAAAAAGCCAAACAAAACAGCTAGATTTCTTGGTTCAATGCTAAGCTCTTTTTTCTACAACAGATGCTTTCTTTCTAGAAAATCATAATTAACAGATGTAGAAGTCAGTCACAGGACTGTCTTCAGAAACCATTCTTCTGATAGTCTTACTTCCTATAAGGAGTCTATGTATATATTATCTCAGTGGAATTAAGAACTGAATTGAGATAAAATTCTCTTACTATTAAAATTGTTATAGATTTTTAATATAAATTATTATCATAAATATAAAGGTGAACATTCAGAAATGTGGACAAATAGTGATAAAACCAAGATTATAACTTTGGTAAAAGCTCAGTGAAGACTAAAAGGAAGGACAGAGTGGAGAGTCCCAAGGTTTAAGGTGTCTTTCCAAAGCACCTCTGAGGTCCCCATTCCCCTACCACCCCCAGAACAACTGCACATGAGAAAAGTATTGTTACAGTACTTATCAAATAGCCCCAAGCCTCAGGATACTGAAGGTAACTTTAATGTATCTAAATTACCTCCGTAAATACTTCAGGAATCATTCTTTAATATGAAAAATAAAAGGCAAAACTTCAAGTAAGCAGCTGGCCCCAAATGTATTGCCTTGGTAGCCCTTGTATACTAATTACATTTGGTAGGCTGTGTATAATTTCTGAAGTACTACTTGGTCTCTAATTTCAACTCAAAGGCTGACTTCTACCTCCAGTTACAAGTCATTCTGGATCTAAGCCGAGTTCTGAGCAAACTTAAGAGACCAGCGTAATATCCCTGAAGCAGAAAAATCCATGTGCTGTTTTCTTCTTTCTCTTTTTTTTAAAATATTTTATTTATTTATTTGACAGACAGAGATCTCAAGTAGGCAGAGAGGCAGGCAGAGAGAGAGGAGGAAGCAGGCTCCCCGCTGAGCAGAGAGCCCGATAAGGGGCTCTCCATCCCAGGACCCTGGGATCACGACCTGAGCCGAATGCAGAGGCTGTAACCCACTGAGCAACCCAGGCACCCCGGCCATTTTCTTCTCTTAAAGCAAAAATTTATTCATGCTTTCAGGAAAGAAAGGAGCCTTTAAGCAAGGTTTTTTTTTTTTTTTTATAGGAAATTTCTTAAGCTATGATGTTTTATAAATAACTTGGCTAGAAATAGATATGATGATTAACTTGATTAAACAATAGAAGTGAAGGGACACCAAGGTGGCTCAGTCAGTTAAGCATCTGCCTTCAACCCAGGGCATGATGCCAAGGTCCTTGGATCAAGTCCCACATTGGGCTCCTTGCTCAATGGGGAGCATGCTTCTCCCTCTGCCTGCTGCTCCCCCTGCTTGTGTGCTCTCTCTCTCTTTCTGAGAAATAAATAAGTAAAATCTTTAAAAACCAAGCAAGAGAAGTTAATACTATTTTTGGCGGCATTCCATCAACTCCCTCTTCCTTCCCCTTTTACTTTATTATTATTATCATCATCATTATTCTTCTCCTTTGGTTCCTTCTCCTACTCGTGTCTTAAATTTGTCAATATCTCCCACAGATAATTTTTGCACAGGGTGGAGCTCCTCAAGGCTAAAGAAATCGATCATTCCTGGGACCCCTGGCTGGTTCAGTCAGTTGAGCATGTGACCATTGATCTTGGGATTGCAAGTTGGAGCTCCTTGTTGAGTGTAGAGATTACTTAAAAATAAAATCTTTAAAAAAGAGAAAAAGAAATTGTTCATTCTTAATCTGTGTATCTACTACTAAGCACTAAGTGACAAACTATTCCTACTAAAGAGGTAGCTTTAAAAACATGGCACATTACAAAACTTCTAATTCTTTTTCTATCCGATTTTTCATATCTGCTTTTCCCTATCCTGCTATGCAGTAGAAAGGAAAAAAAGACATTTTTTCCTTTGAAGCAACATTTTATAAGTTCCTCTAAAGTGTCAGCGGGTCAGAAATTGCTCCAGAAACATCTAAATGCTCTTCAGTATTCAGCATGTTGGGTGAGAAAAAACAACTCTTTGCGCAGTCAATTAAGGAATTTAGAAAAAACTTAATCTTTTGCGATGTTATTGTGTGGTGGAGGAGAGGGGACGTGTGTGTGTGTGTGTGTGTGTGTGTGTGTGTGTGTGTGTGTGTGTGTGAGTGCGTGCACGCATTGAATCCCAGCAAATTCAAGTACCTTACAGTAGAAAAAAAGATTGGTAAGGATGGCAAATTAACACAAAAATGCTATAAATTTTTCATTAGCATTTGAAATGAGTTTAGTGGTAAAACAAGTCCTAATTGCAGTTGTTTTGTTGAATTAATGAAAGATTTCTGTAGTGTAAAGTAGATAATGAACTGCTTTCAAGGAAGTACAGCATTTACTGTAAAAGTAATTTCTCGTTACAAAATTAAAATGAAGTTATATTTTCAAAGTGATTAAGAAAGTCACGTTTGACATTTGTTAGTTATAGGAAAATGCTAGTTTTCTGAATCCTGCTCCTTTCCCTAAGGTGGGAAGGGAGAGGGGAGAGGAGAAAGAAGAGAACCAAATAAATAATAAAATCCCTCAAAAGCTGTTCCCAAAATCAAATTTTATTTAATTGTTATAGTGAAACATAAGAGATATAATTTACACATGTACTTTTTATGCAATAAAAGTTTTTCCTGTTCGGCCATGATATAAGTAGAAGGTAATACATCTAAGAAGCTAGAAAACCACCACATGATTAAACATGAATTCTAAATATTGAAGCCTTAAGCAAATTACATTGATAAGGTATAAAAGATACTAATATTTCATCTTTTGAAAATGCAAGATAGTTCAATAGCAAGACTGTTTAATTGAAAATAAGAAAGTAATTCATCTAAATCTTAGAAGGAAATTCCTTTGGAAAGACGGTAAAGGTGCCTATAATACATTCTGTGTCCATAATGTCTTTGTAGACCCAAGAGTCCTTATAACAGAAGGTACATAATATATCCTTAATTGTAAGATTAGGTTGTTGTTCGAATTTCCAAGCCACTTACTTGATACTCAGTAGATACATACATGAGTTAATTATTTAACTAAATGAATGAGTTTGATATACTTTGAATTTCAGTAAACTCAAAATTACAGCCAAGGTGATACCTTAAAATGAAGGTGTTCAAACAGAAATCAAAACATATCACCAGGAATCCACAGAGCTGTCAAAGGAAAAGCAGTGGGGGTAGAACTGGACTCAATTCCCAAATACAAGAAGAGAATTTGGGACTTTATAGCCAAAGAGCAAAGTGGGGGGAGAGGGGTGTCTGTGGGATGGAAAATTACTAAGAGGGAACCTCAGGGGTGAGGGGAGACTTTGGCTAAACTGACCTAACAGTCAGGCCAGGGTGATCAGGTAAAACCAGAGGGATAGTAGAAGAT